GGAGGAGAAGAGGAGGAGGAGAGGAGGAGGAGGAGAAGAGGAGGAGGAGGAGAAGAGGAGGAGGAGGAGGAGAGGAAGCAGAGAAGAGGAGAAGGGGAAGGGGAGAAGGAGAAGGAAAAGAAGAAGAGGAGAGGAGAAAGGGGAGGAGGAGAAGGAGAAGGAGGAGAAGAGGAGAAGAGGAGAAGGGGAGGAGGAGAAGGAGAAGGAAAAGAAGAAGAGGAGAGGAGAAGGGGAGGAGGATGTGGAGGAGAAGGAGAAGGGAAAGGGGAAGGAGAAAGAAAAGGAGAGGAAGAGAAGGAGAAGGGATCATTGAAAAGAACCCAAGAGAGCTGTAAAAATCCTAATGGCCAGCTATCAGATCAAAAGATCACAATGTTTTGTGTTGACCTCCAGATTTCTTCTCTTCATGAAAGGATAAGGCAGTAAAATTGACGGAGGAATGTGCTCCTCCCCTATTAAGGAAGCTCTAGAACAAAGTAGCTGAGTTGCTAGTGACCTCCAAAAGTTCTAGTATCCTCAAATACCCCCCCAACTTTCTATCATTATTAAAAATCATTATCATTATTTTTTTTTTACAGAAAACTGAACCAAGGCCTGAAAGGAAAGGCTCTTGGGCTCCATCCATCTCTTTCCTTCTTCCAGCCTCTGGAAAAACAGCTGATGATCCCAGATTTCCTTACCAAAGATGCCTTCGGTTCCACCCTTCCCTGTAGCTGGATCGAGAGCTTTCCACATTAAGCTGTTCGCTTCCGTCTGCTTGGGGAAGCCTTCTTTCTTTCCAGAAAGTAGCTTTCCTTGGGAGAAACTCCTGAGAGAATCGCTCCAGACGTGGGATGAGCCATAGATGGCGCTTCCATCCAACCAGCCAGTCACTCCGTTTATCTGTTGGAGAACAAAAAGAAAGGTGGGAGGGAGAGAGTAAGAGGACCGGTTAACTCCTGTTCAGTCTCTGAACTGCTCGGATTGGATGAATTGATTAAGATGATTAAGAAGGTAGCAAGTTCACACTGGATAGTCCAAGCTCAATAAATTTGGGTCTAAGAGCCGTGGTGGCCCAGTGGTTAGCGTGCGGTACTGCAGGCTACTTCTGCTGCCTGCCGGCTGCCTGCCATTTGGCAGTTCGAATCTCACCAGGCTCAAGGTTGACTCCGCCTCCCACCCTTCCGAAGTGGGTCAAATGAGGACCCAGATTGTCGGAGGCAATAGGGGAAACCAGACTTCCGGTTGGCTCCAGAATTGAACTGGGGGCTTCCGTTTAAGACCTTTGTGGCTCTTTAGGTGTTTAAGGTTGCCGACCCCTGGTGTAGTCCTTGAGTCATAGTTTTAAAAATATATATTCCAGAGAAAGCGGCTGAACAAATAAATCCTGAGCATCCCACCCTTTGTGACAGAATTTGGCTCGGCCTCCTAGGAAGGGCCTTCCTGAGGAGCTTCTGCCTCACCCCATTCCTGCTCTTCTCACTGGAATTCTATCTGCAGAGGGAGGAATCATGGATGTGGCGCAGACAGCAGAGGGCATTTTTACCATCTCTCGGGGATTGTTGGGGCTTCGTCCTGTGCCTGCAGCCCAACTCATTCGTTGGAAGGGCAGGACAACCTCTTGAGAGCTGTTGGGGTCAAAGACAGGGTCGTCTGGAGGGATCGCCAGGTTGAGGAATTCAGCCGGGCAGCCCGGATTGTTGGCTTCTGAAATCTCTGCCAGCACGTGGAAACCTGCCAGATACCCAAAATCGGGAAGGTTAAGAAATGAATTGCAATGGATGATGTATAAGAGAAAGGAAGGAAGGAAGGAAGGAAGGAAGGAAGGAAGGAAGGAAGGAAGGAAGGAAGGAAGGAAGAA